GGGGGGGGGGGGCTTTTCATGTTTGCCTGCGGTGAAGAGTCGGATCAGTTTGCTTTCGGGGAGGGGATCAGGTGAACAAGCTATATTGAATGCATTGGCATGTGTTCTTGCCCTGAATTCCTTTTGTTTGCATGTGTGATTGAAATGGGGAAGGTCACACTCAAAATCGAATTTTTGGCAGCTTCTTCATACCGCTAACGAGTGGGGTTTGCGTACGACGTGAAGGGAGCAGCCGCAGCTGAGAATATCGAGTAGATATTTGGAGTACATAGTTTTAGTGAGACCGCGTGTTTTCGTCTTTTTCATTTAGCTCTTATTTATGGAGAGGTGATCATGCTAAATTAAATAACTTTTCAGCCTTGACAGTTCGACAAAGATGTCTCTGGCCATGAAAGCAGCCAATCTGTTCCGTTGACCGGCCATTTCACTTCATTTTCTCTGTGAATGGTCATCGATGATGTCACTACTGTCATTCCATTTTTTAATATAATCTTCTCTCATGAATGTGTTTTTTTTTATTTCGAATGATGCACAAGATGTACTGTGATTATCAAATCCAAATTCAAATTTCTCGTTTTTATTTTTGTTTGAAGTCGATTTGTACTATATCTAACAACTACCTATACTAGCTCTGTTAATATGCGAAAACGAATTTTATATGCTACTTAATGTATGGGAAGGATGCTTGGTGTGTGTGAATAAGCTGTTCCATTGAAATTCTTTGTCACAGAATTGATATGATTTGCGTCAATTGCACCTTTCTTTTGAAATCAAAGACAGAAATACAGATGGTAGCTAAACAGTGGATCTAGAGTGATTCGGAAGACGATTGAGTATAGCATTGCCACAACTTCGGCGCCTAGTATAGCCTCAAGACTGCGATGATGATACATAGGTGTAACATGGTGTATAATGGATTGTGTAGTAACATTTATTATGTACTAGAAGTATTTGCGTTAGGTTTTCACCCTATTTGCATGGAGAGGAAGAAAAGGGAGTACATTGTCAAGATATTCCACAGATTTGAGCTGTATTTTTAAATTTGAAAAGGATATCCCGCCTGGCCCTTTTTTGGTATTGTTAGCAGAAAAAGGAATTGGGAGCATCATGTTGACGTCACTGGAAACCGTCTGTATTAGTTTTTTTCCTTTTTCTCCTTTTTTTCCTGTTTGAATTAGACGCCCACTAGGCTCCCTTCAGCGGGAAATAAGCGCTAATGAAGGTGAGGTGTTGTTCCCATATATGTAAGAAGGGATAGTTGTCGTGGGATGACAAACATATGGGTGACCAGCAATCACCATCGTGCAGGAGTATGTTTGGAATTCGACAGACTAGAAACTCCAGATCCAGAAGAAATTCGCAATATATACGCGTACGTGCATGTGCGCGGCGGGATTCGTGGCGATCCGAGCGACTCTGACGCCTAACATTGGGCTACAGGTAAGAAGTAGAGTAGATTAGTAGGATTGACTAACCCTACTAAACTACTCTACTTCAAGTATGTGCCCCAATGCAGGCGCTCGAGTCTTCCAAAACCCCACTAATGGCTGCTTTCATACTTCGACTTGCGCACCGGCTCGCAGTTGGAGACGGCCGTACATTTAGAAGTGGGGTGCGAGCGGCTATGCGCGACGGCGGTCCTATCCAAGCGTGTGAAAGCAGCG